GAAACAATCTTTCCCATTGCCTTCTGAAGACTGCTTCATCTCCTGTTCAGCGGCACTCTGCTGGACAGAGAGAATCCTGCTTCTCAATTAATATCTGAAGATCCTCCAGCTGCTTTGGTCAAAGTTCATCTTTCAAACTTTTAAATCTATACTTGCTCAGATTAGAGAGAAGGACAGATGATAGAGAGACAGGGGAGAGCAGTACAGCAAAGGCTTGGATAAGCCCTTAGAAACAGGTCAGAGCACTGGCCAGCTCTTGCAGCCTTTCCTCTATTCTTATAAAAAAGAGGAAGGTTCACACCAAAGGCCCCACACATCTACAGATTTGTTAGAAATGCCAGAGTATCTTGAGCTGATTCTCTGTGAAAAGGCCCTGTGGAGTGCTGGGACCATGCCACTGACCAGGGTCCTTGAGGAGCAAGGGAGCACCTCAGAGGAGTGCTAAATAAAGAGCTGTGGCCTTCAGCTGTTGACTCATCCCTTCAGACTTGGTATCTTGCATGCCTCAGCTGGTTTCCTTGAAAGACCATCTTAAACTTTGGGCCCCAGACACATCTGCACATCAGTTGCTGTCTCCTCATATTCCCAAGAGGTGACACTATAACAGAACCAGATGTCCATACCACCAACCATTGATCTTCCCAACCCTTTTGTGAGTTTAACACCCACGATGGAAGCTCCTCATATGGTAAATGCTGAAACTAATTGCTTCATCAAGCCCATTTTTTAATTTTTTTTTTTTCTGCAACCAAACTTCAATTCTGAAAAGGCTTTCAGCTGTTTTAAAACTGCATGTCTGATGGCTACGTATTTTGCAGAAAAATGTCCCATACAATCTCTCTGTAACTGTGAAAGACTGACTTCCTTCAATGAGAGTGTTTCATTTGCTCTAGGTCAATGTTCTTATCAAAGCCCATCTGCCATGTTTCCTTTGCCTTCTGCTCTCCTTATCTGTAAAAATTATGCTGTTCACATCAATAAACAGACAGGCTATCAAAAGGGGTCAGGGTACAACAATTAAGTGGAGGAAACAATTTAAGCATGGACAATATAATTATACATGTCTTTGTCAACTAACATTGTTTCAAAAAAGGCGTTTTTCAAAGTGGCTCCTAGGTGATTTTTGCTCACTCCAGCTGCTACAGGTTTTCATTCCTTGTCAGCATCCCGGAATATGTATGTCATGAGGAGGAATTTGAAGAAGGAGATAAGAAGCATCTTTCTGGCTTGATTCAGGGAGCTTGTGCAAAGGGATCAGCGAGGGAAATTCGCCTGAAGCTTTACAGATACACCAGCAAAAGAGAGAGAAATATGCATTCAAGGTTGGCAAAACTGGAGCGGGAGAGCCAGAAATTATGTGACAGGAGACATGATAGATGTAACTATTATGGTAATGCTGCTTTAGTCTGCTACAAGAAAATTTGAAGCTGTACATACTTTTGTAGCCCATTCGCTTTTACCTCAACCTTTTCAGCTATGCCTTGATGTAAGGCAGGATGTTCTGCATAGTGATACTGAGAGATTCTGTTTGCCTACAGCTTCCCAAAGCTGCTTGTAGATAATTTCTTAATCCATTAACAGGATGGATATTTGACACATTCACTTGCATTAATTAAGCAGATGTAGGAATAGAAGGGTCATTTTTCAACAACCCTTCAGGACTTTTTGAAGAGTCCGATGGAACAGTTCCGTATTTTTTTCCTTAGGAAATAATAGGAAATGAATGTTGCATAGATTATTTGCATATATAGCTAGTTGTCCATTTAAAAACATTTACTCACAACTTTTTTTCCTCTTATTCCTGCTGATCAAAACATCAGCTGTTCACTGGTAATGCCCTTTTGAAAGGGGAAAGTCCCTATGAAAAGCAAATACTTTTATTGTTATTATGAAATTTTAATGAATGTACTATTTATATTTTCTAATGTTTTGAATATTTATCAAAATTATTTTCTAACATCTTGACAGAAACTCTGAATTTCCTGAAAATTGTTTCCTTATTTAGAGATGAAACCTTCCTTTCTTGCATATTCTGAAAATAGATTTATTATATTGAGCACTATTTTCCAAAGCATACAATGCAAATGATTGTCACACATCTGTGCTATAGCCTCAGAATCGTGAAAGTGTAGCACAGATCTGATGGCCATGTTAATACGGATTTGAATACAAATGTGGTTAAGGTAGCACAGCTAATTTCCTGGGATGCTCAGGACTCCCTTGATAATGCCTTTCTTTAAGTAGCACCTACTTCCAGGAGGGCTCCAGAAGGTACAAGAATTTCTACATGGCCTCCTTTCAGTTGTTCCCAAAGGAAAATTTTGTCTTGAAAAACACCCTCCCTCTTGTTTTTATCAGTAGCATTTGCTCTTTAAAAACTGCTTATCAAATTGTTCTGCAAAATACTCTTCTTGTATATGCAAATAAATCTGGAGCATGACATGTTTCTCAAATGTGACACTGGCTCTTCCTTGAGGAAATGTAAGGTACCTAAGCTCACAATGAACCGCGAAGAAAACAAACCTTGTTCTACTTGTTGAACTTTCTTAGTGTTTTAATTTGAGAACACGTTTAGGTTATGATAACTGGAGCAGAATTTCCAGCAGATATCTGCTACTAACACAATCATCCCTTTCTTTTTGTGCTCTAGAAGATATTTTGATGGTGCCTTTTTTTCACTGTAGATGCTTTCAAGGAAAGAAAAATCCCCCTGAACTTAGGAATCACAGACTCTCATAGGGCAATATGTACTAAGGAGGAGATTTTTATTAGGTACAGCCAGATCCCAGATTCATGCTACAGGGTACGAGCAAAGTTTGATCCTCTCCAGCTTTGCAATGTTTTTTACTTAGGCCTCTTGCTTTTATAGATAATTTATTAACATGGGACTGAATATTTTTTTCAGTACTTGGATCTTTTCAGTATTTTCCGAGGGCTTGTCCCCTGGTTGACGAATACATTTTCAAGTCTAAAGATCTCCAAGTATTTGTTTAAAGAAATCCCTAACTATTACTTTTCCTTTTTTTTTTTTTTTTTTTTTTTTTTAATTAACAGAAAGGATTTGTAAACAAATTAAGTAAACTCAGTTACTCATCTTGGAGATTTTTCCCTTATGAGATTTGGTAAAAATCAGACAAATATTTTGCAGTTTGGTCATTTTACCCTCTGTGAAGGTGAGGGGTCCTCTCCAAGGCCTTTCCAGGGGCTGGGGTAGCTCCTTTTCCATGGAGGCACAGTAGGATATATCGATCAACCATTGCAGTAATGTTCTAGCGAGTGCCCTGCCTCTTACAGCCTCATTCTATTTTGTTACTAGTGGACATTTTACTGGATGGGACTGAAGACGCAGATGTAGGAGGACAGTTTGGTTCACACTGTTTGGAGCTCATTTTGGCTTTTAACAGCTGGCCTGCATTTGGGGGACCTCACAGCTGCACTGATGTAAACAGAGCCCTCCCTCGGCGGTTTCTGGCTGGAGGAAGGACAGCCTCCCCCACAGCTGCAAACCGCAGCAAATCCACAAATCCCTGCTTCATTTTCTGTGCGCTGCGACCAGATGGGGTCTGTCGGTCGGTCGGGACAATAGGAGACCCCAGCCCAGCTTGCTCTTGGCTCCCCCCGGCAGCGAGTGCGCTGCGGATGTGCCGGGGTGATGCCACATGGCTCCGGAGCCAGCTGTGCCCGGCAGGTGTGGTGCTGCAGCCAGCTGTGCCCGGCAGGTGTGGTGCTGGAGCCAGCTGTGCCCGGCAGGTGTGGTGCTGCAGCCAGCTGTGCCCGGCAGGTGTGGTGCTGCAGCCAGCTGTGCCCGGCAGGTGTGGTGCTGCAGCCAGCTGTGCCCGGCAGGTGTGGTGCTGCAGCCAGCTGTGCCCGGCAGGTGTGGTGCTGCAGCCAGCTGTGCCCGGCAGGTGTGGTGCTGCAGCCAGCTGTGCCCGGCAGGTGTGGTGCTGCAGCCAGCTGTGCCCGGCAGTGCTGCTCCAGGCACAGCCCCCCTGCTCCTCAGCGGCTCTGCAGAGGAAATCTTTTATGTCTTCACCCCCGCACGCCCGTGTTGTGGCCAGAGACAAACAACCTAGCCATTATTGTATTACCCAATGCAAAAAAAAAAACCAAAAAACCACCCCGCCTAATCTTGTTTTGTGTCAAGGGAAAATAAAGTTGTTTTTGTTTTTTTAAAACCCGAATGAAATCATGGTGCTTTATGGATATTTGTGTCATCCTAAGAGAATGATTCCATTAAGATTAAAACAAAGGCTTCTTTTTGCTAATAACTTGAAATGAAATTTGTTTTCTCAGGAGTCCTTCTTTTAAATAGGAGTCTTTCTCTGAACTCCAGGGAAGAAAAACTGGTATTGTTTTTCATGATTAATCAACAGAAATCTGTATTACAGTAAATATGTGGTTATGTTTTTCACAATGAACAATGACTAACGTTACTTACGTAAGAGATACACACTTTAAAGCTAATCCACTCTTTCTCTTTAAAAGCTTAAGAAAAGATTATTATTTAAATTTAGGATTATTATCCTAAATGCGCTATAGCTAGGTAGCATCAATGTAATCTTAGATAAAAATGGTAAATTATTTATTTAAATCAGTGGATAAAATAATTCCTATATGCAACAAATGTGATGGTAGATGAAATTAAAAATCACAGCTGAAATTTTGAAATTTGCTTACTAAATAGGTTATAGCCACATAGATGCAAAGAATATAGGAGCTGTATAGCTTTTAATCATCTCTTCTTGTGCTGCTGTCAGTGTAGATGTTTGCAGTGGGAACAACTGCTCCTTGTGGGACTTGATGCTACTACAGATTACTTCCTGGAAAATCTGGCACAGGGTGGTTTACAGAGAAGCCTGCAGATTTTGGTTTTGCACTGGCAAGTGGGAGAGAAAGACAAAACAAATTGTGTAGTAAGTGAAACAAAAACACAGAGAACTTACAAGTCCCTTGCCAGCTTTTAGGGGAATGAAAGCACTTGAGATTTTGCAGTCTTACCAGAATAATTAGAACTGCGTAGTATTTGGAATACTTAAGCCCAAGAAAATCTTGGGAATATTAAAAGGGTGATGTTAAATCCCCTGTCAAGGAAGGAAGAGCATGGCCAGGCTTTGAAAGGGTGAACAAAAGGGAAGATCTGTGGTCTATGCTGGATGTGCTGTCCCACTGCTAACAAATTCATGCAGATGTGAGAAGTACAGCATCAATGAAAGCTAAAAGAAGATCCATCTGGAAGAAAAAAAAAATAAAGTGATGAATTTATTTATTTTTCCAGCTTCCTACAGGTCTGGTGATGCAGGCTTCCCAGCTTCCACTTTTGTCAAACTGATTTTATCACCTGGAGCTGTACAGTGTCAGGTAAGGACATAAGTGTTGGCATTTATAGGGGAAGTTGTTTGCAGTGTCCCACCTGTCTGGTCCTGCTTCCAAGGGGTCAGGGGGGCTGTTTAATGATAGGAACTCTCATTTTGAAAATGAGACACTATGACAAGTGTGATGCCAGGCCTGTTTCTGATAGCCTTGTCATATGCTGTGGGACTACTCACAAACTCTGCTCATGCCTTTATGTACTCCACACCGTGAATAGTAGCAAAACCTGGACAGCTGGAAAATAGTCAGATCCATGGTGGCAACAGTGTGAGTGACCCCAGTATCTTAATCCCTGAGCTCAAAGGTGGGGATAGAAAGACTGCTGGCACCGACCCACAGCTCAGGAACAAATGCATGTAAGCAGGATTACACTCAAGATTAGACAGGCATTTTTGTTGCCTTTGATCTTGGTTTCATAGATGACAGCAGGTTGCTAAACTCTTCAAGGCGTAAGAGAACAGAGGATATTTCATAAAAGGTGGGAGTTACACCAGTTAAATGCAGAAGGGATGAGTGAGGTTACCACTGGTGGGTTTCAGCTGGCTGGCACTGACCAGCACAGTCAGTCACATGTGGTGAGGGCTGTGCTCAAACTCTGCTCGGATTTCAGCATGTCTCCTTTCTTATGACTAGATGAAATGGAATACTTTCTTCTAGAAAGTCACACTTTGACCATGAATTAGAGACGGGTGTAACTCCAGCATGTTGGAGGGAAAAAGCTCTGCTCTTTTCCTTCATCCAGGGTATGCGTCTTAATTTATAGAAAATCTGTCTCACTTTTTACATCAACTGTTGTCATCAACAGTTGCACAGGTATCAAGTAGAAACCCACGAAGTGCTGATGTCACACTGACCCCCATGTCTGCAGTCATGGACCAGGTCTCACTCTCTCAGACCAAAATCTGTGATCTGAGTAAGATAAAGCAGAGATAAGATATCCTGCTTACTCGTCCTCATATCACGGTGGAGGCGAACACCTCTCTCTGTCTGTTAACTTAGAAACGTACTTTGGACTAAAGTGTCAGTTCTTCCGAATTCATATTTTCCAGTAAAGGAGATAGCCAGAAAATTCCTGGCCAGTTCCACTGACAGTGTCAAGCCCTGTTTGCCAGCATTTAACTGAGACTAGAAAATATTTACTTCAGTCCTAGCAGACTTAGCAAGACTTAAGTGAGGCATCAGAGGTGACAGAAGAAATGCTCTGATGCCAATTACCAGCTGTCATCTTGATTTGCAGGGAAATGGTTTTCAGTGTCATCCATCTTTCTTTTGAGGAGGGAAGCACCTCTATGTTTGGCCCACCAATAATCATTTTGGCATCTCTAAGACACGTTCACACCATCTTGATCTGTTTCATGCCAAAACCTAGCAGGACCACTGGAAATATGAGCCATGCTTTCCAGTTTAAACAGAGACAGTATTAACTCCTTTTCCTAGTGTCCTAGGTTAGGCTGTAAGATATGAACAATTTCCTTACTGCTCCACAGAAGAGAGCAAACTTTATTTCCCTCCATTTCTGCTCCACTGTGTTTCTGGATGCAAACCTTTTCCCATCAAACTATCCTGCGTTGCCCTGATGACCTGTTCCCTTCAGCACAAAAGCTTTTCTGAGAGCTTCTGAGCTTCATTCTGACAGTGATCAGAACTAGGAGGCATCTTTTGGCTCTTGCTATCTGTTTGGGCTTGTGTCTTCTCTGCAACACATGTTGAACATGTGCTGGGTGAGCATTTTCCTGTCTAACTTAAGTCACATTCCTGGTACTGCCACATCAGCAGCATCTGACTGGCTGGAAGAAAGGAAGGAAACAGTGAATGCATTTGAAAAATCACTGATGGCCACATATAAACTTTTCAGAAAATGTTTTAAGGGGCAGACATTCACTTAACCCCATCTGGAGCACGTAGCAAGATGTTTGATTTTGTTCATTCTTCTGGACAATTCTAGTGACGACAGCACCGGATGCTATTTTTATGCAGAATACCACATTGTGAGCACCTGCATGAATAATGCTCACAGTCCATAGCATTTTGTCTTACATGCTCTTTGTAGTCTCAGTTCCTGTGCTGAGTTGCACAGTTTTTCCAGTTTAAAAATGCAGAATTGGTATTTTTTTCACAGAGTCTGCAGGACAGGTAAAACCAGCCAAAATATATCAAAAAATCTCAGTGCTGAGAGCAAATGGATACTTGAAAAACCTCAGATGAAAATGATTCCGATCCTGACAAATTCATTATGTTGTCCTCATGCAATAGAAAAGGCATGGGAAGGAAAAATTCTGTGATGAGCATAGAAAATATTTGTTGCTTGCAATGAGAGAGGGTAAAATGGGCTAACCAGTTATCAGGTACACAGAGAGGATATTGTGCCAGATGCACAGATTGATGGGTTATAAAATGATTTGAAAACTGAAGGTCATATAGATGGCATACTGCAAATTAGACATTTAAGCAGATGGCATGGGCATTCACTAGTCCACCTGCCTGGAAGAGGGAATTTTCCAATGCCGTACAAAAATGTCAGCAGATAAATAATAAAAACCAATTCAGATAAGCGGGATAAACTGTTCTAATTACTTACATCTCATTTCCCACATTTCTGATCTTGGTCATTTTCTGCTTGCAACAGTTTGTTTTTCTATATGATAACAACCAGCCTAGTCCCAGGCAATACAAGATACCAAAAGCATGGAGGGAGGAAATTCTGAGTGAAATTTCATGTCCAATTGGTATGGTACCTACCTTTAAAATTTTCCTGCTGGGAGTGCAAAAGTAATTAGTAAGGAGGAAAGGAAATTTAGATAGCCACTCTTGTACCTTGTCACTCTCATAAGCAGCAAAGAGAGGGACATGGAAAAGTGAGCAGGAAGGGGAAAATAAGCCCTGTGAGAAGGTCAGGATGAGCAAGAGACAAAGTAATGAGATAGAAAATGTGTCTCTCAACTGCAAGCCCTCATAAAATTCCCTGTGTAGAGACACAATGTGGTTGACTTAGCACAAAGGCAACATCATGCCAGCTATCTGGAAAGTGGAAATAAATGTAATTTTGGTTTTGAGGCAGAGCTAGGCAATTCCTGGCACCTGGTCCTCCCAACAGACCCCATGGGACCTATTGCTTGTCCATGTCACATATGATACTCTAGCTGAGAGAAAGCCACCTTCCTTCCTCCATCAGTTCTTGAAGCAGACACTGCTGTAATGGAGAGGGAGGGAGGTTTCGTTAGCATCATTAAGCACTGGCCTATGCCCTTTCTGGGATGGGATTCATTGGCATTAAAATTCAGTGGCAAAGAGCCACCCTTACACAGGAGAGACGCTGGATTGATGGGAATGGTTGATATTCTCCTGCTGTTTTGTTTTTCATGGATTCTTTTTTTATTTTTAAATTTTTTTTGGTATCAAATAAGAGGCTCAAGAGGAAGTGAATGCTGAAGAGAGACAGTACAGTGTCAGAAGGCTATGATCCCACCAAGCAACACATTACTGAGGCAAAAACAGAGCCTCTTTCTCTGTTCCTTGAATAGTCTTAGTCAAATCCTGAGAGTGGAAAGGTCAGAATAATTAGACAGAAGCACTCAGCTTCCTACTCAGTGGTGAGAGAAGGGAGCTTTGAGAGTGTTGCTTTGTGCTAAGGGACGATGCATTTCTATGTGTTCTTGTTAAACACAGTTCAAAATTAATCTCAGCTACAGAAGTACATGTCATGGCCTCAAGATATCTTTTCTTTCTTGAAAGGATATATAGCTATGCTGGAGATGAAGGCATTACCTAGAAAATGCTGCAGAAAGGACATGGCAGTACACAGCACTACGTGACAGAGCTGTTTTCCACCATGTCCTTCTGCTCGAGAGGCAGGTCTCATTGCAAAGTTTGCTTTTTTTTTCCCCAGCTGACATAGTATTACTTCAAGAAGCATTCTCAGAACAGCAATAGAGAAGTATTCTCAGAACCCTGAGTTGGCAGTGGCCTTATTTTGAAGACAAGCATTTACTTCCACCAGGAAAGAAAAGCTGTATACTAAGGATCATGCTGAATATTGAAGGAAGAGTAAGACCCCTAAATATTTTGTGGAGTTTTTTAAGAAAAGTTTTCATGCAAGAATGTATTGACGTTCATGAACTTCATTGATGAATTGCTTGCCAGCTAGTATAATGACCTTGTTTCTAGTCATCAACCTGATTGGATGTACAACAGTCCTACCTGCAGGTAGATGGGATTCATGTGATTCTGAGATGTTCATTGTTAGCTATCAGGGTAAAATTTGTCCTCTGCCTTCCCTGGTGGGATGTTAGAAGAAAAAGAAAAAAAGTTGGTTGTCCTGGGGCAGGGTAACAGTTTAGCTAGACCAGTGCCCAGTTTCCTAGAGGAATGACTAGTGGATGCCTTGGAGATAACATGAAGCAAGGGCCAGGCAATACTTCCCTAGACCTCTCTCCAGCTCCCAGCAGCTTGTATTCCAGGTGTCCTGAATTAGAAATAGTGTCCTTGCATTTAATGTTCTTACTGGGTGCTCTGCACAGCACCACATGACAGAATGGGGAAAAATTGCCTCTTTTGGTAGCAACCTGCCTGCAGGTAAGTGGGAGAAAGCAGGGGCAGAAGGAGCATCTCCTCTCAATTACACAGCCTGAGAAGCTGAGCTTCTGCTGACACACCCCAAAACTGCATGCATTGACATTCTTCAAGGCCTGTGGGTTTTATGGAGTGCCATGGACTCCTGGAATGGTAAAGCCAGTATCTTCCTGTCTACCCTAGAGGACACTTGTGGGATGGGTGGGCTCAGAAGCACATGAGGAAATGTGTCCATGGATTACTGCCTGCCACATACCAGGCTCTTGGGGAAAGTCCTTGCCCCAAAACTCTGCAGCTCAGCCCTGCATCCACAGGTTCTGTGCTCATCAGGCACCACAGAGCTTTTCCTCACTAAAAAATGGCATTAAATGTGTCTTTGAGCTCTGTGCTTATTTTTAAAAGGAATATCTGCCACCAAGTGGAAAATGTTATCACTTCACCAATATTTATAGATTATTACCAGTCATAATCTTAGCAGTAATATTGCTTATTTCTGTAAAAGAGTTCAAAACAAGCAGACAGAAAAATGTGGTGCTGAAACAGAGCATCAGTTGTCTTGCTGGTTCCTTTTCAGGACAGATTAGAGACCTTGCTGAGGTACAGCCAGCTGTGTGCCTAAACACAGAAAAATGACAGAGGGGCTGTGGTGTGGAGACAGCCTTTCATTCTTCAGCTCTACAGCTGGGCCTCTTGACATCAGAGATAATTCTCCTGAAATTCAGGAACAGCAGAAATTCACACTCAAATTTGAAACTTCTGGAGCATTGGTTTCTAATTCTTTTACCAAGCCTCATCTGTTGCTCTGACTTCAGCCACCTTCAACTAACCCTAGATAGAGCAACAATGTGTTTAGCTGCAGAAATCTTAGGAGGAGTGCCCTCATGTATCAGTTACTGATGAGAACAACTGGGTTTTTTTTTTCCTTTCCCATCCATTATGCTTTCTATAATAGCTCCAGCAGGGACAAAAGAGACCTCTGAAAAAGACACCTCTGAAAAATCAAAGAGAAATTATTCCCCTGGCCTGTGGGTGTGTTGTCAGCAGTTCCTGGCTGCTTGTGGCCAGAACCTCAAATGGCTAAAAGTCATCTTTTACATTTCTAGCTCTGCTCCAGGCTCTTAACATATTTTCAGACACAGCAGAGGTGACATAAGGGAAAAAGAAACATGACACAATGGAAAAGAAAGGATAGAGTAGAAGAAAAATTGAAAGAATAATATAAAATCAGCAACATTTGAGTTTGATTCTTCAAACAGGGCCAGTACTCCACTGTGTTTTCTGGGATGCCCAGGTACTACAGGTGATGAACTTAAGAAGAGTCAAGAGGTGGAGAAGATGGGAGAAGATGGACTTGGGGAAGGTCTGGTGCTGATGGAGACCTGAAACATTACAGAACATGAGGCAAAAGTAAGTCCATGTAGGTGCTGATTGAGCCTGTATTTAGGAAGCCACACATGGGTAAAGTGGGTGGGCAGCTGCTGGCATCTTGAGCAGATGGACACAACCAGAATGAGCAGCTCCCATCATCCCAGCCTACTGCAGAGCTCCAAAATTAAATTGGAGTCCCATGTATTCACCAAATGCTTCCCCTAATATGGTTGGACAGACCTGGGAGGCTCTTCCATGAGTAAGAAATAATTTTGTCAGAGCTTCTGTGCTTAAAAAAACCACAGGATGTTAAAACAAGTTTCATTTGCTACTGGTGAGGCAGGAACAAGCCAGATGTAGTGTCATTTTCTTTTGCCACTGGCTGGACCAGCAGCTCCACAGAATGACTTTCTTTTACTTGGGAAGCCAGGTAAAATGTGTAGGTACTTAAAGACCTTTGAAAAATGTCTAGATAAGATGCATTTTATTCAGCTTTGGGAACTCCAGGATAGGTTAGAGGTCTCTGCCCATAGAAGAATGCCATACAATGCAGAAAAATTTACTAGGTAGTAAGGAATGTCTACAAGATGGCTTTTGTATAATACAACATCACTTTTTTGTGTTAGCTTCTAGACAATGCAGGTGGTGCTCTTACAGGCTCATGGCTGTATAGCAAGTATTTTTTTGGGAGGAAGGGATGGATTTTTAACGTAAATATTTTTTCTTTAGTTATGTTTTCTTATCTGATCAGGTCTCCAGCATGGAAGGCTATAAAACACTTTTGAGATAGAGACTGTAGAGACATGCTGTTAATTCTGGTTCTTTTAGACATTGCTGACTTGCTCCAAGGAGCAAGTTCACACTTGTCAAGTTACATGAGTACGAAGCAACCTTTGATTCATACTGTAAGCTCATCCTGGAGTAGCAGTGGTGATCCTTAGGAGAAATGTTTGGTCTTTTGAATGATAAATCCTGGACCAGGCCTCAGCTGTGCAATGGAGGAGGTAGAAAATAGGCAAAATGATAATACTGGAAATACCTTATCTCTACTGTAGAAAGAGAAATCCAGCCAAGGCTTGTGATGTTCAATTCCATATCAATTGAAATTGGAATGTAGGAAAAATAACGTGCACTGTAAATAGATAAAAATTTTTATTCTGTGTATATACTGGTTGAAATAAATTTATTCATAACTCATACATTTGAATGTCCTCTTGAACTATTGAAACCGTATGTCTCAGTGATAGGTGCAAAAGCATAAAGTTGTTTATGTCTCTACCTATGCAGACATCAGAATTATTGGCACAAACATCTCGTGACACCATTTTCCATGAAAACTCAGTCCACCTTGGGCTTTTATTAGGTTCACTTAATAGTCTATAATGTTATCTACTGTAGGGAAGGTTCTAATTAAAGTACCTATATTTTTCTGTCCCAGCATACCATGTTGATAATTGAGCAAACTCAATTTCACAGCCTTCAGGAGGAACAGAGTTCCTGATCTTTTACCCAAAATGCTTGCACTTTCCTCCCTCGAGGAAGCATGTAGTCTCCCACCTCTTCCCTACCTCCCTCCCCTCTGCTGATCTCCAATCAGATCCAGGCCAGCTTCAGTTTGTGTGCCAGGATCTCCTTTGCTGGAAGTCAGCTGGAGCTGACTCCTGCCCTGCTGCTGTGAGCTCTCTGTCCCTCAAATCTTGGATTCTAAGTGTGTCCACCTGTGTGAAACTTTTGCAAACACCTTCCCAGTGTGTCAGTCTCAACAGTGGCTATGATGTCAGTCTGCTGCTCCTGGTGGGAGGAGTGGTTTGCCAACCCCAGCTACAGGTAGGGCTCTGGCAACCTGTGCAGAGCTCCTTTGCTGCTGTGAAACTGTCCCCAAATGCTGCTTTTCCTTGCCCTGGCCCCTTATTTCTCTGGCACTTCTCAGGGCTGCCCACACATGCGGCTTTAATTGCTTTGCTGCCACCCTGCAGCCTGAGCACTTGCTGTGGGAGAGTTTTATTCTGGTTCATCCTTTTCCACAAGTGCCAGACACACTTAAATCAGAGTTTTAAAATCTTTAAGGACATCTCTAAAATATTTAAGGATAAGAAAGACTAGAACCAAATGAAAAGGGAGAAAAATGCAGTTCGACTTAAACTCAGCCAACAGGTACCTTATTGTGTTGTGTACTTAATCCAGTCAAAGCATATCCTGGCTGCCAGATGTCAGCCCTCGCCTCCACTGCCCTCAGCAGCAATCCTAGCCCCAAGCAACATCCTCAGACAGATGGAGTCTCCAGTGACATCCTTTTTAGGACAGTCTTACGTGAGGTTTATACACATAACCTGAGGACTGGAATTGGATGTTAATTGGATGCTCAATAGCGGCAATTTCCTCTTTGCCCTGGCTGGGAGCTACCATGAGTTCCACCTGAATGCATTTCTGAAGCACTAAAGATAATTCTTTTAAATTTTTCATATGTTCTACTGAGTGAATGATGTAAGCTGTTGTGTCCATAATGAAGTTATGCTAGAATGCTGCTAGTGTAGCATTTATTTGGGTTTGTACCAGAAACAGGCTTTATACTCAAGGAAGCCCATGGTCTCTAGTACATTGTTATCTGTATTTGGAGAGCACACATGGCATGTTGCTAACATGACAGATCTCATTAGAAGTTGCTTTGCTGGACATTTCTGAAGGAACAAGTTTTTTCTTGAACTTGGAGGTCACATCACACCACTCCATCATTCTGGCTACCTTCTCAGCTACTTTTTAGCTTCAAGATCTGGTTCCTCAACACCTTCAGGGGCTTCAGCTGCTGTTGCTTTCCACATCTGTCCTACCTCCCATTCCCTCTCTCCCTGGTTACTTCAGCCTCTTTGCACCTTTCCAACAGCTGCCTATTGGCTTTCAGCTATCCTCTATCCGTCCTGGATATAGGATATATCCTCCAAGGCACTACTCCCCTAGCAGTCAAACTCTTACCAATAGCAAACAGCAGTGGTACTTATTCTACATAAGTAGCTGAATAAATTTGGCTGAACAATCTCATTACTTCAGTGATAACTCATAATCCATTGCTTCAATTTCTTGGACCTTATAATTGTGATGTATTCAATACAAAATTTCCAAGCAAGTGATTATGACTGATCTGCATTGGTAGCTCCCTAAAACTCTGTGGGGTGTTACACAATAAGCCTAAAAAGACCCATTGAATTGGGTCTTGAAGCTGGGAATATAGCAGTAATTTTAAAAGTTCAAGAGGTGTATTGTCCTTATCACAAATCTCACCATTATCAAAGTAGAAAAATCCAGATTTCAGATTTTTAAAAGGATATCAAAATGTGTTATCGGAGAGGATGCTTAAAACACCCATATAGGTTTAACTCAGTCTGGCCATAGGAACAACCAAAGGAATTCCATTGAGAATTACAGTGAGTGAGAAACTGGAAAAAGCTAAAGAAATAGGAAGGAAAGGAAGAAGAAGCAGGAGCTATTGAAACTATTTCAATGTATCCAATATCTAAACTCACAAATTTAATTTAGAGAGTGCAGCTAACCTGAGATGGTTCGGGTAACAGCTTATGTAGTTTGTGAGATGACAGGGATGTTATTATTTTATTCCAAGTGGTCTTATAGTAGTTTTACCTTTTTCAGCATGTTGATGAAAATGAAGGTTTCCATTTGTCACAGAACAGATGACAACTTAAAGAGGGAGTTTTGTTGAGTATATATTAGTATACTGTATACATGAATATACGAGCAACATTAAAAATGAGAACAACTTGAATGAGTAAAATACTGGGGTTACAAGGTAGATTTATCTGCTTCAGAAAATATTTCAACAAAAAATTAAGTTGAGGTAAACTGATTTCAAGGATTTGAATTCAGCTCATCAGTCACACACTTATTTAAAATATTGCAAACCAATATTTCATTATTTGCAGTAGGATAATTTAATGTTTCAAAATGCCTTTTAAATTACCTATGACATATTTATTAAGAGTTATTCATAGAGTACATGGATAGACATTGTTTCCAGCATACTTCTTCCAAATTTTGTTTTCTCTAAGTACTTAAAACTTTAGGGAGCTCTTTTTTGTATATAACAATCTGCAGTGGGTAACCTTAAAAATAACACATTTTTTCTTACTGTGTTTAGGCAGAACTGAAGGTCAGTTTATTTACAAAATTCGTCAAATGCTTTTAAAGATTATAAAGTAATTCCTATGTTCTCATCAGTAACCCAGGAATGCCATGCTACACATTATTGGGAATGATACAGATCTACAGGAAAGAAGATAAGAAAGTGTTACCATGCCAACTGCATGTGATTAGTGATGGCAGCCTACTGTCAACCATTCTTAGCCCTATGGTCTTAATTTGAGGTAGCTGTACACGAGTATTGTCTCAAAGGCACCTCTATTCTCTGTTCCTTGGGATCAGTGTCTTTTAAAATAAAAACCTATAATTGTCTTTATGAGTATTTGTTGTATTGTGTCTCATTATTTTAACATTTGTATTGAGGAGCTGAGCCCTCATTAATGTAGGAACATCCAGTACAGACACTGGAGAAGATGTTCCAATCTCTGTGTGACCCAAGGGTCTATAAGGTGTTTGCCAGAGCTGGAGGTTTGAACAAGGTCTTTTATGTCAACAAAGAGTGTGAAGAAAACCCATCCAAGCCTGTGGATTTTTTGGGGGACCTTTATGGTTGTTTCTGTTTTTGAAATCCAGCAGAGAAGATTCTAACATTGCTGGGAAAACCATAACAAAGCAGCTGGGTGATTTATTTCTCATTGTTACAGGTTGGTAGCTGGGTGACCTGAAGGCCATCTCAGCCTGGCTGCAGAAAAAAAAATACTGGCTTTCAGTTAATAATACAGTGATAAGGATTTTTTTCTACATTTCTACAAAATACTTCTTGCTTTCATCTTCAAAAAAAGGAAAAACAAGAAATTAAAACAAGAAATTGTGTTCTACTCTGGTTTAAAATGTGACTGTGCATGACAATCAAAATGTGACTATAAATACAGATGTAAATTGCAATGAATTTGTTGTCTCTGGTTTTGTAAAAGGCAGCAGTAACAAAGTGAGGGGATAGAAGAAGATGATAGAGAGGACTTGCCTTTGCTTTACTGTTAATTGATTTTAATCTTGCTGCCTTCTGGTGATCAATTGATGTCTGAGTTTTGTGTATCCTTCCAAATGCCAAATCTGTGCATGACAGAGACAGACAGTATTCATGTTACAGACTTTGATAGGATCTCTGTATTCTTGCCAGTGTGAATTCACATTAGTATTCACTATAGGAGTAATTAACTTGATGTATCATTATTCTTTGTAAAGAGGATTTAGATATGCTTTTATGATACTGAACTAATATTACTTAAAAAATACCTTCTTGGGACAAAGAATTTTAGAAAATTGTGTGGAAGAAACTTTCTGTTTGTCTGACACAAAATATTTCTGTGTGCATGTGCCAGCACAATATTTACACTTTTTGCAACAATATGAGATTGGTAACTTATGTTCAGCCTTTGATTGTCTATAGGTCCCAGAGTCCCTTTCCTGAAGATTTGATGCCAATTGAATATTTCTGCAGAACATTTTTTCAGTAGCTATTTTTGAATTCTTGCCCCTTTTTCTAATTTACTGTGTCATATGAAAATGTAATAACCATACCTTCTGTACTGTTCCCAGGCCATTCATAAAAGAGTAGTGTGAGGATGTATCTGTCTGTGGTGAAATGCTGATTGACTGCCTTCCTTTTTGACTCTGAACCTTCCTCTGCACATCTGAGCATCTTTCCTCCCCATATTTTGGTAGTTTCACCTGGACCAAGTTTCTCTAGTTCCTATATTCACTAGTTCACTATATTACTTGAGGCAATTTCAAGAACCTTAAGAAATTAAGATCTTTGACATGTTTTCCTCTGTCCAAAAAGCCTGTTTCCTGTCAAAGAAGGAAATTGTATGGGTTCAGAGTGACATGTGTTTGACAGACCAGCCTGGCCTCCTACTTGCTTCTTTGGAGTCTAAGTTTTTACAAGTAGTTTGTCTAATTTTCTGGCATTTCCTGGGAACTAATGTTAACTGAAGTCTCCATTCTCTTATATACAGCTTTTGAAATAAGCTTTTGGCTTGTTTAATCTTTTTTGGTTTTCCATACCAAACCTTTATGAAGGCAATCACTAATGACTCTGACACCATATTTCAGCAGCTAAGGTGAATTCTACTAGGCCAAGCAATTTCGAAAAAATAGAAAAACAGGCTCCAAAAGAAAGTGCTCAGTAGCTTGTCTCTCCCTTAAGTAACATAAATTCTTTTTCCTCATATAATAGCTTTTCATTTCATGTGCAATTTAATGAAGATTGAATCAAAGGAATGTACCAAGAATTTCAGCCTTTTATCTTCCCCTGTCTTTTTTCAAACCTTCTCTCCCTCCCTCCCTCTCTCTCTCTGTTTAACCTGCTGTAGTAGACTTCTGGATTGTTTTGTCTTCCCTATGACTTGTTTTTAGTCATATCTCATTTCACACAATCATCTCTCTGACTGCAGTAATTCTGAGTAGTCAAACTTTATTTCCACTTCTGGTATACCTCTTTCTTCTCTCAGAGATCCTCATGGTTTATCAAACTGCATTCCTGGTACATTTCCTACCCATTTCCTCCCCAGCTGACTAGAATATTCCACAATTTTGCTTCTATTATCTCCTTAGGTGTCGACAATTATGAACTCCTTTTCCCTGTTTTCCATGGGATCTTATTTATTAGGTCCTCAAATTCCTTTTTGCAGTTCAATATCTTGTCTTTGCTTTTTTCCACTTGTGGAGACTCTTTAGCTCTCAGCTCACTCCTATTTTTACCTTTCACTCTGACATTTTCAAATAACTTTTCCCTACAGGCTACATTTAGATCCAGACCCACTTCCCTTCTGGTTGCTTGCACAGTTTTCTGCATCAAAAAATCAACAAACTTCCTCCTTGGGAAGTTTCTGGAGAGTCTGCTCTCCTCTTTCCCAAGAGATGCTTGAGCTTTCAAGCTCCTTACTGTGAAGCCCTGTACCTTGGGGTCTTTCTTTTAATTTCTCACAGAAGTGTCTTCCACTTGATTGCCTTGGTTTGATGGCTGACATTTGCCAGGATAACATTTTTGCTTTTTCCTCATTATTATCAAGATGTTTCTCTCTAGATCTTTTTACATTCTGCCACTCAGCAGCACCTCTTCCCTGCCTTTCCCTGGCTGAATAAGCTGGTAAGTATTCCAGCCATGTGAGTATTCCCACCAGGTTCTTATTCTAGTTGACTCATAATTTTGTTCTTGTTTAAGGACATCCAGCTCTGCCAGATAGCTCCTCATGCTTTTTGTATTAATACACAGGCATCCGAGATGTTCAGAAATGCAGTCTGTTCTCTGCCTTTTTTGTTCTTCCTAGGATGTTGTTTTCCTCTGTTCTGTTACTCTTGTCCCTCATCCAAGTCAGCGCTGCTTACACTTACTTCTCTTACTTGTTCCCAGCTATCAAGCTTTTGTCCCAAGCTGCTGTTTTCCTTTGGAGTGAGACAGATCTCTTTTCTTCTCAGACATTCTTCTGAGACCCTCTTGACAAAGTTAGCTGTGCATGAAATTATTCTGAGGATGTCTCTGTCTGTGTAGCTATTAAAAAAAACCAAAGAAGATGTTATTAACCTTTTGAAATAAAATAGAGGTTTTGGCAATGGTGCTGAAAGTATGTTTTTGTATTGTATCACTTCCCACTGCTGCTTACAGTGCCTCTTCTATTGTTATTATTTCAGATATTTCCTGGGAATATTTCAGTATCTTGGAATGAAGACCTGGTCTGATGGCATATCTGGAAGAGAGAGATAACTACTACTAACTGTTCTTTGGAGTATATATCATCACAACAGATCACTCACACCTGCTTTTCTCCCTAAGCTTACTTTGCAATAATGTATCACAATTTTATTATCTTTACCCATTTTCTTCTCTTCATAGCTCTTTGCACTCCCACCTTGTGCCTGGAAAATTTTCTGAGATAATTCAGATGTCTCCTATGCTGCCATAATTTCATACGTACCTGGGACAGTTAAATGTTTTTGTTTTTTCTGCATTTTGGGTTCATGTAAAGTCATGGGAAAGAGATCTCTGCATTTTTTGGTATGAAATACAATATTTTTTCTCTATTTCTTTACTTTTTTCTATTATCTTTTATCTTGTTATTTGAATGCAGCATAAGTGATTCTTATAATACATTGATATGATTAATATATTTTCAAATTTCTGGTTTTATTGTATGAAATGCTTTTGGATCAGAAGGCTTGCTAACTTGTTCAAGGCCACTGTGCCTTATAATTATAAAGTATGTATTTATATGGCCTGAAGATCTCCTGGAGGTCTACAAAAGGAAAAAAAATCCATTAATTTTTCTAACTTATGGCAATCTAAAAACAATTCTGTTTGTTTGTTTGTTTTCTTTTAAAACAAGCATGTCTTTCTAAAGCTGAGAATAGCTCCAGGGAATACAATACTGGAGAAAGATATTCAGAAGATCATTTAAAACCTGATGTAAACATTATTATATATTATTATATTATTATATTATTACAGACCTATAGTAAGAACAATTTTACTAAAGAGGGGAAAAAAAGTCCTGTTGTTACTCCAGATTATGCAGAAAGAAATGTGGGGCTTTTTTCCATCCAACCTAAGAGAGTATGTGAATAATCATTTAAATCAAGCACTGACATCTGCATGTGCTTCAGTTGGCTTGCTTTTAATCAACAAACTGTCAGCCTATGACATTACTGTAAGTACACAGTTCAAGTGCCAAGAAATTACAGGCCATTTTAAGTCCTGGGACTGAGTTGGTTGGTGAGTTAATACAAGTGCATCTAAGATGTATGCCTCGTGCCTGAACAGATACAAAGTATGCTTATTTTGGCTGGTGGAAGTACATCCTGGAATGTGTTTTTTCGACTTAAAACAGCTTGATGAAAAAAAAACAAATGAAAAGTAAAAGAAAAAAATTTGGAAAAAAAGGCAAGAAGTTTCTAAATGCCAGTTTGTCTGGTTTAAGAGTTATTAACACACTAAGAATTTAAAAGTAGAATAGGTGCTGGTCTGTGATGGGAAAACACATTTAATGAATACAGGAACAAAAACTAGGGGGGAAAAAAGAACAACGAGCAGGAGAGATTTACTGCAGTTTTAGTTGCATTAGCCTATGTTTGCTCTCACTTGCCATGAACTCGCTGAAGCTACTCTTCCTTTGACGTGGCCACAGCAGCTGAAAATGAAAGTTGACCCTTTCAGCATCAGCTATGCAAGGCAAGATCTGCTCCAGGCCCTGGGACATGCTTCCCTGTTCATGAGTTTTCAGCTTTTTTTTCAAAAAAAGAAGCCATGCTCAGTGAGAAATCAGTTTCTGAGAAAAATTTGAGGATGTGAGTGTGTTACTATATTGATAGGCACAGATATTCAAATTCTAACTTGCAGAAAAGAAAAAAAGAGATGCGGCCACATTTCCCATTTAGAGAAGGAACAATAAAGTCTCTTAAAATCCTGCTTCCTATAATCCCAATGCATGGCTGAACACTGCAAAGCATTTTCTTTCTCACTTCCCTGGCTTCTGAGACATCAGATACTATCTGTTGTTAGATGCAGGATGCTGGATTAGGTATGGCAGCTCTTGTGTTCCCAAGGGATTGCTCTGCTGGGGTTGCTACTGTTTGTCTGCATTCAAAGATGGATTTAAACTGATAAAGAAAGAAAACTTGTATAAAGCATACAGTAACTCATTCTGTTAAGGATTTGGCATGGCATTCAAGGGAAACCAATTATGATTTATGTCAATACAGCACAGATAATTTCCCATTGATTGACTGCCAGATCCTTCATAAAATAATGAGTTAGGCCTGATGCCAGTGATTCTTGAACACCATCAGGCCAGTGTTTCTATTTCATATGCCCTTGACAAGGCTTCTCTCAAAAATTTGTGCGTTAAATGAGTTTATAAGTTCTCTTCAAATATGCAGACTCAAACAAATATAATCTGTGATTCCCTTATGTGTTAGTGGGGTTTTTGAAATGCATGCTCGTGTCTAGGCATTTGGCTACAGGTCTAGCAAAAGTGAGTATTCATTCATTACTTAAAAACCAAACAAACAATAGGAGTTTCTCTGTTTGCTAAGGATTTCTCTTAGGAGATTAGTGCATGCCCATATTCCAAGCAGTTCTCAGAGACAAATAACTTGTGCAAGCCTGTGGTTACCTGGAAACAAATTGTATTTCTTGAGGACTAACTGGTGTGGGGAAAGTCCTCTGTGTTTGTCCAGAACAGTCATTTACAAATCTTCTATTGCTGCAGGCCTGACCAATGCCAGTCACTGCGTAGTGTGTGTGTGTGTTCATTATTCAAGAGACACAGAACTGAATTTTCCTACCCTAAGGATGAGGAGATGGGGGCTGGCCATGTCTGGATTGCTTGTGGTGTGGGATTATTAAGCAGCTGAAACTTCCTTTACAAATGTGTGAGCGGAATGAAGGCAGCAAATGGTGCTTCTAGAGAGGACATATGCCATCTGTCTCAGGAGAGTTTGCCATCCCAAACACAGAACTTCTCCCTTGAAAGTATCTGCAGCTGCTCTGTTTTTCTGCTCCCTTGCAATAAACAGTCAGGTCATAGACATCTGGTGTGAGCAGTGCCATCCTTTTTGTGCCATAGCTGATTTTGGCTATGGTGGAGTTAATTTTCTTCCTAGCAGCCAGTCAGGTGCTGTGTTTTGGATTTCTGCTGAAGACAGTGTTGATAACACAGGGTTGTTTTTGTTATTGTTGTGCACTCTGTACACAGAGCCAGGCCTTTTCTGCTTCTCACCCCATCCCACCAGTGAATGAGCTGGCCATGTACAACAAGCTGGGAGGGGACACAGCCAGGACAGCTGACTCCAACTGACCTGAAGGATATCCCATACCATATGATGTCATGCTCAGTATATAAAGCTGTGGGAAGCAAGAGGGAGGCAGGGATATTCAGAGTGATGGTATTTTTCTTCCCAAGTAACCATTTCCCATGACAAAGCCTGGGCTCCCTGGAGATGGCAGAACACCTGCCTGCCCATGGGAAGTAATGAATTAATTCCTTGTTTTGTTTGTTTGAGTGTGCAGTTTTTGCTTTACCTATTAAACTGTTTTTATCTCAGCCCATGAGTTTTCTCACTATTGCCTATCCAATTCTGTCCCCAGTCCAAGGCAAAAAGAGTGAGAAGCTGTGTGGTGCTTTGTTGGCAGCTGGGGCTAAACCCACTCACTTTCCTGTTGCTGACAGTCTTCTGTCTTAGGACACTGCCTGTCTTGCCTATGCCCAGCCACATCCACATATGTTTCCATGAATGCTTCATATCTAACTATTTAGAGAACTCTGAAAACTTGAAATTATTGCTTTCCTTGCAGAAAATCTAGAAAACATCTTAAAAAGTCTTCATCTCCCCTTCTGAGAGATGAGCAAACTGGTATGGTGAGGTTCACCTGGAGGCTCACAGCCTCCAGGGAGTTTGGGTAGGAACACAAAAGAAATAATAGGTATGGTGAGGAAGAAATTAATTTTAAAGGAGAAAGCAAAAAAGATATCAGCTGGAGGAGACATGATTTTTAGAAATAAGTCTTACCAAGCTTGGCATTTTTTAGGGGATGGGAAAAGCAAACCAGCTAAAGCTGGAATTAATAAATATATGGAAGGTAATGGGAGTGTTTTAGATGTTCATGTAAAGTTTTAAGTCTTGTTCTAATGGCTGTGTGCTTTTTGGTTAATAAATACTGCACTCTTCTCAATGGAAGAAGTTTGTTGTGTGCACTTAAACTAAAAGTAGTCTCCCGAATGGAAACCTATTGACAATGGCAGTTATATCCATAGTTAATTATAGATGGAAAAGCAGAGGAGCTGCAGACTCAGATGCTATTTAATAACAGGTGAGTTACAGATATTTTTTCTGTGAGAGAAAGTCTTTGAAAAACTCCACTTTTAGTGCCACAAGCCTAAAAGCACTGCTCACCTTGTGACTGTGGGAGAGGTGAATGAGAACATCCATAAAAAACAGACCCTTGAAGCTCTCCTTTCTTTACACACACAGAGGCCAGAGCCAAACAGCCTCCACAGGTGTCCCGACTCCCAACCAGAGTTTCACAGGATACTCATCCCAGCTGCCCTTCCTGACGACCCTGGCAGGAAGGGTGAGACCTGGCTGTGTTTTAACTTCAGCAAGAACAAGGTTTATCCCCAAGGAAGCTTTAATATTTGCCAGAATTTTAGCCATTAACAGCTTGAAGCCTTGTGAAACTGCCTTCTCTCTACTTCAGCTGGTATGACATGAGCCTGTAAATTCACACACAATTCATAGGGGTAGCGATTTCTTCTTTGCTGTGTAAAGCAGTGAGGAGGGGCCAGACAGACTAGAAAATGTGGTGTAATTCACCATCTTCTGTGTACAAAGATTTCTCATAGATCACCCTTACTCACCCTGGCAGCATTCTGTAATTGTTCAGTGTTACTCAAGAAAACACACAAGGTGCTCCCTTTGCATGATAATTTTCCTGGTGAGCACTGAGGCATATCGATTTTTTACTTCATTGAGATTTCCACAGAGGTTATGACATTCAATGTTCAGTTTTAGCTGCTCATTGCTATTTGGGGTAGGAACTGAATACGGCCCTGCAAAATTGTCTCTCTTCGTAGCACTTCAGCAGGTGTAAATAACAATCTGTGGCTCCAAGTTGTCCATGCATGAAAGGAAAGAAAAAAATGAAAATTCACTTCCACCAGACTCGTTCCCATATGCACACTGCTACAATTCTCTAAAATAATTAATTTTCTCTTCTGTCCTCCATCCCAGTTAAGACTCCTGTGGGAACACCCTGAGCAGGATGATAAGGTTTGTGCATGCCTTGCTGGCCATCACGTCTGGTTTCTGCTGGAAGAAGAGGCAGGCTAGCTTCCTGTAATGAGTGGTCTCTAAACAAGGACTTGAATTTACCAAGACACCCAGTGCCTCAGCTGTGGAACTGCTCCTCCAGAGCTCCAGCCTGTCCCATTTGGTGCAGTCTGCAAGGAGGGAGGAGGTTTCTGAAGTACCCTCAGCTTATGCCATAAATGATTCTGTGGTTTAAATCCAATACATTTGATCTGGTAACCAATGTGTGCTGTTGAAGGTGTTCCTTCCCTAGGAGACACCTGGTGGGTTGGGTGCTGGTGCAGAGCAAAGTGAAATGTTTCATCTGAACTCAAATGCAATGCACAACACGCCACAGAAGAGTGCTGGGGGCAGAATATGCTGAAACATCTAATGTCAAAGAGGTCACAGCTGGCCAGGAGAGAGGTCTCAAGAGGGATGTTTCTACACAAGGGAAAACTCAAAATAAGCATCCAAGCAGCCCTGCATTCGTGCAAGTTCTGTTAAAGGCTGCAGGCCATCAAGAGAAGCTGAAGCTGACTGAACATGGCTCTTATTCTGGTTGTGATGTGTTTGGCTCAAAAATTCAGCAGACAAGATCCAGCTAACACAGGTCTTTCTCTCTCTCAGGTACAGGAGAGGATCAGCCTCAGTTACCTCAATGACATAATGTGGGAAATAGGAGTTCTGGAAATTGGCATTAAGAAACAGTGGACATATGCCAGTTTTCCATTTTTAAATTTTAAATGGTTCATAGAAAAATATTTCTGAATTGATTTTGTTAAACATTGTATGTTTAGCAACAGCCTAATTTTCATCCAGTGCACTGCCTAGGTGCTCTGGGAGTGCTTAGGCAGCCTAGTTTGGAAGCCAAGCAGGTTGTGTGAAGGCAAATTTTCTCCTCTTGCATTAGAGTGACCGTCTAGCTCAGTTTTCCACTGCCAATTCACTTAATGGATGACCAGGCAGCTCATTAAGAAGTAGTTATTCCATAATTTTGTTCAGACTGACAACAAAATACATGCAAAGGATCCAAGTGATGGCACCCCTGTAGGAAAGCATCTGTACCATCACAAACTCTTTGTTTGGATGAATTAAGGGGTATTTGAAAGTCAAACTTTTAGATTTCTCTATTGTTTTAGAAAATTAAGTTAGGTAATATTAAAATACCTTGAAACTATATTCATTCATAGGTCCTACAGCATCAAAAATATAGCAAATTCTTTTGTCTGAATGGAATCAGTTCATAAGTATATGATCTTACTTTTTTCCTTTCAATAAGGTGTAATTTTAAAAATTTATCTTAATTTTTGCATCATCTGTATTAAAAACATTGATAAAAACCATTGTTTAAGATATCACATTTTAAGGTCAGTGGCAAATGAAACGATTAATATTAACTGTGTGTGCCTCACTAAATTTTGTTTGTGTGATCACACTATCAGATGTTTGATAATCTTACCCCTTCTCTTTTGCTTGTAATTTTTTTCAGTATTTGAGACCCAAGATGCTTTTGTACTCATGGAAAAGAAGCAAATACACTGCTTCATATTTTTGCACCACCTTTTACCTTATAGGACACACAGTACATCTGTGTTTTTGCTAGTTGTTGTTTCCTCACCCTCACTGACAGCTGTTCTCAAGGGTTCATTTATGAACCTGTTCTCAAGGGTTCATTTAAATGTACTAAAATTTTTAGTACAAACATTTGTACTAAAATGTTTGTACACGGCCTTTGTTGTTTTTTTTTCCATGTAACTTAAAGCTAAAGAGAGTGAATATTCTAGATACCTTCTTTGCTGAAGAGTGGAGGTTATGATGGTTTCATTTCCCACTGTAGTATTTTGCCACCTAAGCTGCTGCTAGTTGTGGATTTAACACTGGAAGTGCCTGATCTGGTGATGAAGGGGGACAATCACTGTTCTTGATTTTTGGAGCTGCTTGAGTACACACAGAGAAGACAGTCCCTGAACAAGGGGATGGGAACTGTAAATAAGAACAAATGCTAGAGAAGAAGACTGAACAGTTCCTCTTGTTGCAAGATCATTGCTTATTGTAGGTTTGCTTATATTTGTCAGAGTCTATTTTTAAAGCTTCAGACAATCCAACTTCCACCTCATCCCTTGGTAAGTTATTCACCAACAAATACATCTTGCCATCTGGAAGTTTTTTCCTGATACTCTCTGTTAATTTTTCCTGTGTTAATACCTTTTGTATCATAAAAAACTTATTAAATTACTTACAAAATTGCAGCTTCTCTGTGGGTTATTTGAATCATCAGGATAAACTGAGCAATTATACCTCCTGTACTGCATTCTATATGATGAAATTAACTCCCCACCAAATTTATAAAATAAAATATGCTGAATTGGAAGGGACCCATCTGGATTATAGTATAGAATCATAGCATAGCATAGCATATCCTGAGTTGGACAGAACCGACAAGGATCATGAAGTCCAACTCCTGGCCCTGCTCAGGACATCCCAAAACCCCTATCATGTGCCTGACAATGCTGTCCAAATGCTTTTTGGTGCTGCGACCACATCTCTGGGGACCCTGTTCCAGTGTCCAAACACCCTCTGGGTAAAGATCTTTTTCCTGATATCCAAACTAAACCTACCATGACTCAGCTTCAGTGACTTAGGTTGAGTCTCGAGCCCTGTTGTTGGTTATGAGAGTGAAGAGATAGTGTCTGCCCCTCTTCTTTCCCCAGTGACAATGTTGAAGAGCACAATGAGGTCTCCCTTCAGTCTCATCTTCTTCAGGCTGAACAAACAAAATGACTTCAGCTGCTCCTCATAAGGCAGTTCTGTATTATATTCACCACAATTGATCTGAAGTACACCTTTGGAACAAAAGAAAGAAAAAAGACCCCAACACCCTTCTGGTAAGTTATACAGAACTCAGTGTCCAGCCTGCTGTGCTGGTCTCTTTTTCATGTGTGTCATACTTTACACACTATATTATTACCTTAGAAGAAACCAATTTTTCAGCTATTGGTTTTAGGACATTTGAAAATTAAGGATTTCTGATTGGTATTATTATCTTTTACTCATGGTGTTATTACCTTAAGGTCTGGGGGAAAAAAATTGCATTTTATCGAAATATTCCTTATCCCATGCATTTTCTGTTTGAGGACATAGCTAATAATTCTGGGCTGTTTTAACCCTGGATAATGTAAACTACTCTCAGCTTCCTGCCTGTTTTTCTGCCTGAGTTTTAATGTGCTCTTCCCTTGGATTTAGAGAAGATAGACAAAGCACGCAGCTCTTCCCTGGACACACTGCTTCATGTCCTGGAGTGTTAACATAAACTGAAACTGAATCACTGGACATGATCTAACTGGAATTAAAGGTGCAATGTGTTATTGCAGGGTGAGTCCAAGGAGAACTCTGTTGCTTGCATGAGGCTGAGATCTTTGAAATATGAGGCTGGAGGGAATTATGTGGTTGTCACAATTACCTTATTTATTAAATCCTTCCTGCCATTGCTCAGGGAAGATGGGATTCCAGTGTCAAAAAATGGCTTTGCAATAGATAAACTGAAGATTGAAGGGATGTGTATTCTGAACAAATTCAAGCGTAGAAAAGTATTGCCAAACAGCAGCTAACCTATATCTCTGCTTGATAAATGTCAACCTGTGATGCTTATTAACTTGTAATATACTACCAAAAAGAAGGTGGGTAATGAAATTTGAGTTGCCATAATTTGATAAATCCTTTAAGAACCTGGGATGTTTAGCCAGCAGGTCTTAACTGACAATCAGCAGTGCCTATTTCCAGAAAAAATATATGGAAATCGACTGATAATCCACAAATGATCCACAAAAAAGGATGAGCCTAATGTGTGAACCAAATTGTTTGAGAATATAAAAAAGAGGGGGAAAGAAGGAAAGGATTGTTACTTTGCCTTTGTTGAGAAACCTGAAGAGGTGAACAAACAGATTT